CTGTTCTGTATATCAATATCCGTCTATTTTATATAAATTCGAATCCTAACGAGTTTAATCGCGTATCGATAACATAAATATGCATAAATGCATTGATATTTCCCGGCACTAATGTAATCCAAAATATTATCGAGTTAGCAATTAAACGATATCTGCATACCACAGCACATACATGTTTAATTACCGCTTATCATTCTCATTTCTTATCCTTCCTCTGCTTGGTTTTGGCCTTTACCTTTAGTGCTGTAATTAAAACTGCACAACATATGTATATTCATATCTACGCCAAATTAACCTCTGCTACATTGTTAATTCTTAGACATGAGATCAAATTCTTACGTCATAGTTTCGATCTTTCAAAAGTTAACCCATACTATAATATAATTTACATACGTAATATAACTTGAGTTTATAAGTTACATTGTTGCAAGGCGATCAAGATCTAACTTTTCTCAAGTTTTCATTCAAATTTACATTCGTTCCACGGCAAGTCAGTTGTGTACACACTTGCTCTAATTCTTCTGCATTGCAGATATATCGTGTTATTTATACATAAATAAATTTTCAAGTGCTTGTTCTTGACACTGCTTCTTAACTAAAAAATATCCAACATTAAGCGCATATTTTTATTGCAATTTTCATTACACATAATATTACTTCATTTCTTTACTAGATTTAATCACGACTTTAATTTATACTCTCACGTTTGTTTATTCATCAATTATTAACTAAATAATTTTTTTTATGAATAAAATATACAACATTTTGTAAATCATAGTTCTTATGCTCGACCTATATGAAATTTAAAGCATATACATCGGATTGCGTGTATACACCGCCGAAATCGATTTTTGCAAAAGTTGGCCGAGAGTCTTACTCTATATCTATACATACATTTATATAATATATACATTATACATATATCCAAATTCACATATCACTTGAATCCAATCTTTTATGCAGAACGAATTGTTACGCTTTTGATAACTTTTAAAAAAGCCTTTTAACTCTTTTAAATTTTTCAACATTTGTCGAAAACTCGTAGGTGTTAAAAGCATCAATTTTTTATTTTAACTTAAAGTTTATTTTTCTTAAAACTTTTAACTTCTCTCGAGTTTTTTTCTCTCAATTACCAGCTCAATGCATAGAGGTTAAATCTGTGAAATATATACATTAAAATATGATTTCAAACTCTCAAAATTTTCACCAGTGAATCCTAAAAAACTCGACAGACTTTTAAAAAGTTTTATAGCGATAATATAAGTCATTATTAAAATGTCTATTTAACGAATGAATTGTTAAGTTCTGAGAGCAAAAAAAAAACAAAATTTCTACAATAAAAATTACTTAATCAAAGTTACAATGTAATGCGATGAAAATATTGTTAAAATCTCTCTCATCCGCTTTACTTTTTTATATTTTTTTTTCTTTTATCTCTTCGTGCCATTCTATGATTCTAAATTGAATAATATCGATTAATTCTCTGTACAGAGGACATGTATATAAGAATAGCTGTATGTATATATTTATATAAAATATAAAATATACGTATTTAAACAATAGACAGTGAATAATGCTCTAAATAAAATTCATGTTATGCTCAATAATACTCAAACCCAGCGTAATAAATCAAATGAAACTATAGTGGATTATTAATGCCACATATATCAGTCTGTATTAAACATTTATACATCATCCAGCACACCTTTAGCTACACAAAACACCCTGCAGAGTCACACTGGCCCTCACAGATAAATTTATTCACACATGTACGCTCAAACAGCCTCACAAATATTTACACTTAGTCCTTGTGTCCGGTCGAGCCAGTTCTCGAGGACGAAAATTCTCTCGAGATTTCCATTATGTCATAAACATGACATTATTCTGTGTTACATCTCCTGTAACACCGCTTCCACTTTACACTCTCTAAGAAACAATTGCCTATAAATACATCAAAAGCAGCGCTATCATAAATTCAGCCCAGGCTTTTGCACACCTCAAAGTGCAAAATCTCGAGTGTTGTTTATTATCTGAATATATGTTAAGAGTAATCAATACACCACTTAAATCATCTCTATCTGTTATTGGCATTCCTCTGACGTGTCATTCGAAGTACGTACCCTAGAATCAGTTAACCCAACCCTTTTTTTTAAATTACTAAATGGAAAAATTTTATTGCAGTACTTTATTACCTCGCCTGTAATCATGATATATCACGAAAGATTTGCGAAATCGACCTGATTTTTTTTTAATTCATTACCTCCGAAACCTATATTAAATATCACTTTATTTCTTCTTTTCTGGTGGGTAAAACTGGTCAGTTAGAAAAATTGGTTAATTAACAGTTTCACGAATAAATTAAGTTTTTTTACAGTAAAAAGTTTTCCAGTGAAATTTAAAATTGGTCGGTAGAAAAATTTGAAATACTTATGGTGCAGAAATTATACTAAGCTGTATTTAATTTTATATAGGACATAAATAGAAGTTAAGTTCTGCTTATTATAAAAGCACGATTAAAAAAAAATACCATAGAGGTTATTCTTAAAAATTTTGGGCCTCAGTTATTTCTTAAAAAAATATTGAAAACACAAAAAGTATTCGAAAGACTTTTTTTAGGAATTTAACTCCTGTAATTATGTATTTTTTATCGTACTTCGCGTTCTTTCGACAGAATTCCAATTTAAAGCTGAAATTGTAAGCATTCACTGCTGAGAATCTTTGGAATGAAATGTACTAGTATGTACTTTTATGGGGCTGTCACTCGGTGTCTATGGGGTGGATCCATCGATTATGGGTCTGGAGATCTTCCATAGAGTTTACTTTATGATATCTACAAGTTTCTTTTCTTAATCTCTAGTTGACACCGAGAATTAAATATTTTTTTCGTCTTTGTATTTTTCTGTGCCTGTCGTTCGTCGCTAGAGTCCGTGGGATGCGTGCGCGCGACAGAGAGGTTCAACCGCTACTTGTTGTTTTTTGCGATATCTCCGAAAATATTCATTTTATCAAAAAAATGATAAGAACATATTTTGTTGGTTTTTCAATTTTAAAACTTTATTTTCAAATAAACTTCCCCGTCAAATCAGCCGTTCGTGAATTATATCGGTTTAAACAATTAAATTGTTAATAACAATTGTTTGCACCATTTTCCATAGAATTAAATGCGATATTCGTAATCCTCGACCCAAAATACACAAGAATTCGTTGGAATTTTCCATGGACATAAAATGTACACGGGCTTCCCTCTTCAGCCGATGGACTATAGTAAACATTTTATTAAAAATGATGTACTGGAAAAATTGCACATCAAAGTGTAAATTGTATAAAAAATTAAATTATATGAAACATCAAACATTTATTTTTTTCTCGATAGCTTTGTGAAAAATAAACTTTGTTATTTCATATTTTATATCAAAAATAGCTCTCTGAGATGTGCATTTTAAAGTTGGATGCTTTGTTTCATTCGACTTCCATTCGGTCTATATTCAAATTTAATTTATTCAAACATTAATCTCTGTTTACCGCCTCATCCTGGTAATCCTGCCAATTTATTTTTTCCCACCATTTATTTCAATTAATTATTAGCCGTCACTTTTATCTTCATCGGTTGGAAAGTTCCTACCCGTAAATCACCGAATTAATCGCATGCTTTTAAAATTCGACTTAAAAGTATTGATAAATCCAGTAAGATATTCTCCGTAAAATCTTACTGGAAAAAGTTGGTTTTAAACCCAACTCGGTATTAAGGGATCAAATCCCAAGCTTTGCGGTTTAGTGCTATGGTTATAGCTTGAAACTATATACACCATCGAATTTAAAGGCTGAAATTTAATATATATTATATCCACCACAGTAAAGTACAGTGTACAAAAAACATATATAAAATATGAAAAAAAAGCACAGCCGAGATTTTTTAAAATCAATCTTTCTCGTGAACTTTCATACCGCTCACACCAGTTTAGTTTAAGACTGTACCCTTATCCATAATCATGAGTATGTGCGACAGAATGACACACATAAGCCCTACTCTACTCTTTTTTGTCTCTTATCTCAGTTTTAGTCTCAGATTTATAGTCGTTACTCATACGACAGCACCTCAAAATCTATTTCTTCTCCTGTCCCTTGACTTACCTACAAAAAACTCTTCTCAACAGAAAATTTTTTCGCTTCTTATCTGGCGTACAGTAATGTGCATCTAAGTCATTCTTACTGAGTACCAGCTTTTCATCCCTCAACTGCACACATTGTCGAGAAGGATCGTTATTATCTGAGTAATGTCGGTAAAGGATATCTGTACGTGAAAGGTCAAGAGTCCACGTAAGGTCACGAGGCCATTTCTCATCGTTACACATGCACTTTTGCCATTACACCTTTTTTGTAATTTTATATTTTATAAATAAAACAAAAGCGGAGTAGTATATGTACATATATAATAATAATAATAATAATAATAATAATAATAATAATAATATATTTATTGATGGAAGAAGTGGAAGTTGAGATCCCTATAAAAAGTAAAGAAAGTTTACACTTGAACTTTAAACTCATCTTGCAGTACAACGAGGCTGTACCAGCAGTGTTTAGCATTATTATTATAGTATGCACTTATTAATCACTGTCGATAAGTATCGACAAATTAACTTACACCAATTAACGCTTAATAAATTTTGTTTTAAACTCTACGCTGACGTTTAATAATTCATCGACATAATTGCTTACGACTTCAGTTATTTTGTAGTATATTATTGTTATTATTATTCTTAAATGTATTAAAATTGTACAATTATTTACTGTTACTGTTTTTCATTGTTTTGTCAAGAGCTGAAATATTTACAATTTATCGTCAGCTTCTTTTATTGGGAAACACACGCCTCTATAAGTAAAACTACACCGGAAGATAAAAAACACGTGGAAGAACAAAAAAAAAACAAAGTAAAGCTTAAAGAACGGCGTGAATAAAGTATAATAAAAATAAAAACTCGTCGCGATTAAATCGAGTTATGCCGGACAAAAATCCGGGGAATCGAAATGGGCAACGAAACAAGAAGTTCTTTGCCAATGAAATATCATCGATTGGCATGTCACTACGACCGAGCGGCAGTTCCTCTTCCGGTGAGTTTTGTATTTCAGTTAAAAGTTTTTTCTTTAAGTTGTTTTTATTATAATACTGTTAAAAAATAATAATTGTAACTGATATAACACAAGCTGCATAATTTTAAAATAAAACTTACACTTTTTATGGAACTCCATTCCATAAATTTACATATTTATCGTAGCTTACTTATTCTCACTCGGGTTTATGATTAAATTTGTTGACTTTTTAATATATTTAATATTCTTTACTGTATATACTTATTAATATACCACCTTCTGTTATTACATTTCCCGCGGTTTACATATTTTACTATTAAAAGACTTTTAGTTTCATAGCTTAGCAATTAAATTGTGGAATGAGTAAGCTCAGTTTATTAATTAAAAATAAAATAAATTTTTGCATTCATTTTTTTTCCTCATATTGAAGTATAACCAAAATATTTAAAAATATTATGACCTTCAGAATGTCTTCGGCGACTTTCTGACTACGATAGTTATGCCAATTCTGGAGATCTAGAAAACTGTTGGCAAATAGAATACTAGAGCATATATCCTGAGGTATTTTTGAAGCTGCTGAGCCGTCTGAATACATGAAAATTTTAACGCCTTAAATAGCTTCTCGTGGAAATAAAAGTGAATTTATAGCAGAAAAATGCTTGTACTTTTGGTGAAAAAAAAATTTAACAGCCTTTAAAAGGTTCAAACATCAGGGAAAAAAATATTTCAACTTTTGAAATCTCAGTTCGATATATATCACAAAAAAATTTTTAATCTTTGAACTAATCTTTCTATTTTGATCTTCAATAAGATCCACAGAGATGATGGAATCTCTAAAATTGAAATATCTTTAGCGTGTAAAGTAATATCTGTCGTAATTCACAAACTTGATGAAGCATTATCGTTAAAAAAAAATTTTAAAAATACGAAATCTTTTCCGTAGCAAGGCAACCATCAAAGTAAAGGCTTCGTTACACTTCGCTGCACTTGGATCGGAAATTTTAGGTTACTTGATTTACTTTTTCATTCATTTGATATCTTCCAGTTTCTATTTCAAAGAAACTGGAGGAAACATCCACTTGATTAAATTTGTATTTAGATGTCTTCGGTAGTTTCTGAGCGGTACTTGTTCTTAAATACTTCAAGTACACTTCAATCGAGAAATGAATAGTGTTCGTGGCGTGATTAAAAATTTTAAATAGTTGATAAAAGGCAAGCAGTGAATAGTGAAATAGAAGATACCGAAATCTGTTGAATCTTTCATGAGGCACCGAGGCAATATGAACACTTTGATGTTTTTCCTGCAAGCAAAATTCTTTTCAATTCATACTCGCATCAGTAAATATTTCTCTTTAGATCTCAGTGTATATTTTACTGTGCCACGCATTTTAAATCCAATCATTTTTATTAAATTCATAAAATTTTTATCTACTACGGATTTCAATAACCTTATTAAATTATAAATTTCTATATATTTAGAAAATTATAATTTCAATTGAAAATTTATTATCACATCTCCAATGTAATTAACTTCTTTTGTTTATTGTTTTAATCGATTACAAATAAAAGTTCAATTAATTATTTATTGGAAAATAATTTAATTGTAGGTGAATTATTGAATAAATTTTCGGATGTATTATTAACACTAATTGAATAATAAATGGAAGTTAAATTTGTGCTGGCCAATAATTTGTACCATGAGTTAAAAATAAAGTTACAAAATAATTAAAAAAAAGTGTAGAGCAATAAAGTAGAAAAATTTTTAATTTCAAAAGATTTAAGTTCCCAGACGCATTTTTCAATCTATTTTTATCCACCAATAAAATTTCTTCCCTCGAAAATTGCGACAGAAGGAGAAATAAAAATAAAGATAAAATTGACACGAAAGCTCATCTTGTTCCGTCCCGATCGATAATCAATTTTCACAAAAATTACGGAGTAGTTTCGGGTGTCTGAAACGGGAAAAAATTTCACAGCAAGTTTTAATCAAACAGCAGTTGTTTTACTCGGGAAATTTATACAAGAGTTTAAAACACTTGTACTACATTACGCTGTATAAATATTCCAGTGCATTAAGATAAAAATTAGAATAAGTATGGAATAAATAAAATACTAAAAGATAAGCAGGAAAAATTAAATGCATGAATCAAACAGCAGTTGTTTTACTCGGGAAATTTATACAAGAGTTTAAAACACTTGTACTACATTACGCTGTATAAATATTCCAGTGCATTAAGATAAAAATTAGAATAAGTATGGAATAAATAAAATACTAAAAGATAAGCAGGAAAAATTAAATGCATGATATATATATATATATATATTATAATATATATATATATATATATATATATATATTATCCTCATATACTGCGTAGAGTAAATTTTAGTGCTTCCACTTGTTCATTAAAAATAATGAGTAAAGCGTAGGTGCAAATGGAGGTAGAGTAACACACGAGAGTATTTTTTTACCAGTGGTCTGCAGGCTGTAGCTTTCTACTTCAAATGAGGCATAACCACTAGATAATTGAATTTATATATTTTAATTTTAGATTAAAAATTTTATTTAGTACCGCTGTATCGAGCACTTTACGCTCCATTTATTATAACCATTTATTATAATCATTCATTCATTTGATTACTCAATTTATAGTAGCTTTACGAATTTGAATACAGCCCAATTACTCTTATCTGGAATGTTAGCATCAAAGAAACTCAATATCAGCCGGAATAATTTATTCTGAAAATTTATTCAGGTTTTTAATCCCGATAATTTACCTGGTACTTTTGTTACAATTTATAATGATACATATCATGAAGCATTAATCCCGCAGAGAACAATTGTCTATCCGTCGGGATCTCGAAATATATATTTATATGTCTTTGCATACATATTTATCAAGCGATTCTTTATTATTGCTCCTGGAAATTAATGACTATATGTCCTAGTTTAGTTTTAAAATTACTTAATCGAGCCAGATAATGAGTTGTTCTCACGATAATTCATTAACTTTAATGACGATATTGATTACTAATAATATGATATCAACTGGAATTTATAACTACCATGTGTAGTACGTATTTTTACTGTGATAAAAAAAATTCATTTTACATAAAAGCCCTTTAACAACATGGATTATTGATTACAAGAACTATAAATAACATTATTGTGTTATATTATTAATAAAGTTGAAATTCTGCCGTAAATTATGTATGAGGCAATTTCAAACACGCTACAAAATGTGTATTAAATTTTGTTGGTTAAAAATTTAAAAGCCGTTTTGGTTTGTTGAAATTATTGTTTGTGATAAGCTTATTACCGAAACTTTTTTGCGTTCACCGACTGGAAACGACATTGAGACTTAAAATATTAGGGCAGGTCAGCGCACACAGCATAGTTTCTGCAAAGTTCCGAGCGGTAGGTCCTAGCGGCCTAGTTTTTCAGTAAATGTGTTTTTTCACTTTATAAACCGCGGGCAGTACCTTAACTTGAAGATTATAATTTTTTACAGTTTTTAATTTTTTATTTTTCTTCAATATAAGCCACATAAAAACTAGCTCTTCATGTTTTTAAGACTAAAAGTATCTTTTGACGTAAATAATAAATTTGTTAGAAAGGACATTAAATAAAATCAATATCCTAGTGTAGCTTTTATGTTTTCTCCACCACTATGGTCAATCATAAATACTTTCATTACTCTGCACATAAACATTGGATACCAGTTCAAAGCCATTTCACCCTATTGCAGTATATACAAGAAGTGCAAGCACTAAAATCGACAGTAGTTTACGATACAAAACCAATGTCTGAATCGGCCCGGTGGTACCAGCAACATCAAATTATACTCGGGTGTACACACAAAGCTAGTTGTGCCTTATGCTGAATAATATCGCGCTGTAATCAACTCAATCGATCCCATTGCAACCTTGGTCCACCGACAAATGTACTAAATAGTTACTCTATATTTAAAGACAATCTCTATGAGTATTAAATCTAACATTTTGGGTTTGGACTTATAAATACCTGCAACCATCTATAAATTTAAACCACGATACGATATGACGTTTATGATAACTTACATCCTATCTCAATCGATACCTAAGCCCTCATAAATTACTCCAGTATCCGTAGCACATAAATTTGAATTACTGACCGTTTATCCGTTATTAGTTATCAGAAAAGAAATTATTCAAATTTTTATCAGAATCATAACGGTGTCTATTAATAAGTACACAGAAAAAAAAAATTAATTTCAATCAAGAGAAAAATTCTTGAATCAAGAAAAATAATTTTGGAAAGTTTCATTTTCTTGAATCAAGTAAATAATTTTGAAGAACTTCAACTTCTTAATTTGAGTAAAAAAAATTCTTAAACTAAGAAATTTTTTTTGGTTTAGTAAATTTTATTAATAATAATAATAATAATAATAATAATAATAATAATAATAATAATACCCTATTATATATATATATATATATATATATATATATATATATATATATATATATATATATATATATATATATATATATATATATATATATATATAAATTTTTTTTACTCAAATTAAGAAATTGAAGTTCTTCAAAATTAGTTACTTGATTCAATTTAATTTTTTTTTCTGTGTAGATGAAATAAACAGTTAATTTTCAATCGGAACTTTTGGTTGTGAAAAACACCGGAGTTAAATTTTCAAGTAAAATTTACTTAAACCAAGAAAAATTTCTTAGTTTAAGAATTTTTTTATTCAAATCAAGAAATTGAAATTCTTCAAAATTATTTACTTAATTCAATTCAATTTTTTTTCCGTGTAGTAAAAATCTGTGAAATAAACGGTTCATTTTTAATCGGAACTTTTGGTTATGAAAAACACCGGAGTCAAATTTTTTGAATACACGTGTCATGGGTATCTAAAAAAAATATTTACAACAATGTCGTAAGGACTTTTTATAGTTTTAAAGTTCAGAGGTTACGAGTATAAATAAAAAAAAAAAACATACAACACAAAATGGAGTTTATAAGAGCAGTTTAATCGACCTTGGCAATCCATTAAAAGATACCAAAACAATAGGTACTATATATTGTATGATAATGATAATCCTTAATAGGATATATATAGTTATAATTGTACGTTATTATTTAGTATTTATGATTATGAGGTAAACAATGAGTAGCCTACATAATCTAGAGACTATATTGATATTTATTTCATTAATATCGACGTTTGAACGGTTCTAATTAGTGTAATGTAATAGCATCGTTAATATCGGATTGTAAGGTAGTAAATACAGAGCTTTAGTTAGATTATAAGGTCACACTATTGACATAATAATATATAAGTTATAATTTGTTAGAAAATTAATTTGTTCTATAGGATATTTTCACTTGTATTACAATTATAATTTCACTTCTCAGGGTATATCAATTTTTGATACGTAAATTGATGTCCGTACATTATAAGTAATTGAAATGAATAGAATTGTTCTTGAAATGTTAACAAGCTTCTGGTTCCATTGTCATCGGGTTTAATTATCACGACTATTCGAAGTCGTTGAGTTGAAAGTGGAAGATGAAGTCGAATAATGTGTTCGGACTTATCCGAGTTTTCCAGCTTCCGCCTCATTTAACTTTAATAATTTATAGCGACTTACAACAAATAAGAGGAAAAAAATGACACAATCGTGAATGGCACAATGCCAAAAGGATACTGTCTAATGTCTGAGCCAATTTTTTCAGAAAACTCTTTGTCGTTGTCTCTTTGGAATAATTTATTTCGCGATATCTTGCGCCAGTGGTAGTGTCAACTGCGAACAAAAAAAGTTTTCAGTATAAAAGATGATACGTCCGTGAAGCTTTTGTTAAGAAAATCACTGAAAATTCACAAGGGAAATTAAGTATTTTTCTTTTTTATTTTTGTTTTAAACTTTAGTCTCTTGCGGCATTCAAATCTGATTCAAGTGTAAAACAATGCTCTAATTTCAGACAGCTTAAGTGGGTAATAAGTACTTGTTTTTTGTTAGAGTTCATATAATGTAGCGATAAAATTTAGGGCAAATTTTTTTTTAACTCTATTTTAAAATTTTCATCACATAATTTAATAGCATATTTTTAATTAATTTTATTTTTGAATGTTTCATACACTAGTATTGATTTTAAAGCAATAAATAAACTGAAGAACTCTCGGAATTCGTACAATAATAAAATTTATTTAAAAATGTTTTAATCTGTCGAATAAGATAAAATTTTTTTTTTTAATTTAATTTACTCAAGTGTATTCCATGCTCAAATAGTAAGTGATTGATAAGTAGCGCATTTTACAACCCGGAGATTTTCAAATAACCATTTTCAATAGCTAATTTGTCATTTAACGACAAATTCGGAAAAGGGAGAGAAGAAAGGATAAAGAGCAAGGACAGACCACTTAGTGGGAATCTTTCGGTAAGCGAAAAAATAATTTGGACAGCCTGGACTGGGAATCGAAACCTGATCTGTTGGTTACGCGCCAAAAGCTCTCCCAGTCAAGCTATCCAGAGTTTGTGCGCAACTCATTCCAGTCACCTAATAATGAATTGTATTGAATACTTGAGATGTTGGAGCTCTCCATTGTATTTATATTCATACTTATAAAATATGAAATGTAAGTTTTGTCAATACTCGCGGAAAGAATATTCCTAAAGTATTATACGAGACTTGAATTTAAATAAAAGCAATTTTACTTACTGGCGAACCATTATATTTTCGAAACACTTCCAGTGCTGACTTTCAACACATCACTATTTTTTTTAATTTTAAACTAGCAAAAAAACTTCCTCATGAAAAACGTTTTCATCAAGCCGCTCTGCTCGAGAAAGTAAAAGATTAAAATGTTAGAGATGACACGGTAACGTTGATTTCCGCAAACTATTCAGGACTTTCATCCATAAAATTGAACTCCTACTTTTATTTTACTTCTTCAGACGACTGAAGAAAACATTTTCACTGGCAAAAAAACTTTTTAATTAAGTTTTTTTCCTCTCTTTAGTTTTTAATCTCGAGAACACAACACTAACTCTTGTTCCTCGTTGTTTTTTAGAGTGTTATACCAATTTATTGAGATTAACTATAAGTTAATCACTCTTTTCAAGTCGCGATTTTCTGAAACTTTTCAGAGGACAAGCATAAAATATTGATTAAATTTGAAAAACTTTTATCAGAATTTTAAAACGCAGGACCATTTCGATGAATCTGAATAATAAAAAAATTTTATTTATAAAAATGTAACTTAATATTTTTAATCTTTGTTCAGTTAATGTGCCAGAATATCTTGCACATATCTACCAGCTGTTGACGTAATTTCGATAAATTTAAGGATGCATAAAAATTCAGAGAATCACATACTCAGCGTCCTGGTAAAATAGAGGCTGATAGCCCAGCCAACCATATTACAAACTGCATACATAGATATATAAATGGTAACTTGTGTCTATGTTTATATGAGAGCCAAGATACAGGATTTAATATTGTCAACAGAATAGCCGAGGAAATTGGGTGAAACGTTAAGATAAATTCTATTATTACGGTCAACTGGAGCATCTCTGAATAGTTTAGTCTTATCAAAACAAATAATTTTACGCCTCGCTGTTTCATCAACTTTTATTACTATATTAATAAATTACTAGCAACCTTGCAGTCACTAGGTGACTGCTGGGACTTATGAACTATAAATAGATAAAATTTTGCTTTATTAAATAGTGATTTTTGTTAAATTGCACTGTACTTTTTTAATTATTGACGTTTTCAAAGATATAAGCTCATTTCGATGTTATACTCATCAAGAGCTTTCATTTGAGTACCCACATGCATTTCGATATATTTTTCATAGAGGTAATTTTTTGATTATGTATCTAGAGATAGAGCATTTTCGAATGCAGCCTAAAATCCATTTTATCATATAAATACACTGGCCACAAAATTTTTCTTATTCTCTTAATAATATAGATTATTTATAAAGGTTGATATAAAATTTTCCGCAGTAATTTTCAATCCCTCGGTGCTATATTATGTAGTTATAAACCTGAATCGTAAATTCAAAAATATATTTCAAAGTTTTCTTCATTTACTGCCGGAGTAAACGATAAAGACTTGAAGTTTTCCATTATATTATCGTCTTTTAATTATTACTTCACTCTTTGTTCTAATTATAAAGTTATGTAATAAACCTGACATCAATTACAATCGTAAATTTAAAAAAATAATAAATTATTTTAAGTAATAATTAACTTATCAAGAAAATTGTAGAGCAAATGAAAATGTTATATATCTTTTGAACAGGAATATCAAGTCTGGCAAGTTGCGGCGAAGTTGGAGCATTACCGGAGTTGCCAGCCCAAGATGAGGAGCGTTTGCAAAGAGCAGCACGGCTGTTACAACAACGACTAGTATTACGGCAATGGCTCAGTGATCACGGACTCAGTTCTTATTACCAAAAGTAAGTTTAACTTATGTTGGATCATCAGCTCACTATAAATAATTAATTAATAATAATAATATTAAATATTCTAGCGATCGTTATCCTTTCAGTTTTCCGTCACATATATTCAAAGCACGTTGAGTTAACTTAAACTTAATTAATTGTGAATTATTTAGTGACGGGATGATAAAGACGACGAAAACTTCTGTTATTAATTTATTAATGCTCTAACTTGGTTACAGGCTAATGCAGATGGATGTGTTATCCTTGGAAGACGTGTACTGGGTTGAGGATAATGAAGCGCGTAGTACTCTTGGGAAAGATCTCCCAAGGTGGATTCAAGCTCGTCAAACTTTGCCGACATCCAAAGACGATCTTGAGTCACTCAAATCCGATTTATGGAGCTCAGTTGTTAAAAACAGCCAACATCAAGATGCCTGGACATGGGGTAAATTTTATTTACCATTTTTTTACTAACAATTGATCAAAACTTTTTAGAGTAAAACTGAGATTTTCCGCAAACACTTTACAAAAAATAAATTGGTTTCCGTGTGGAGCTTTTTGTTCTGTCAACTTTTAATAAAAACAATAAAAATCCCGAAAATAAAGTTTCACAATGGCATATTCGATTCTTACTACAACAGAGAATCAATGTTGTCTAATATATACATATACTGTACAAATAATAATAGAAAAGCGTGAAATGTTATGGAAAATGTCAGGAAATCATACTATCGACATATTGGAACCAGCCGTGATATTTACGCATCAATAGACAAATCATACATGCATGCATTTAAACTCTTCGATTTCAATTTCGGCTTAAACTTTTTTAGACATCATACCTTCAGCTTACTCAAGTAAAATGGTGTAAAAATATTCAATTTTTTTTTTTCAATAATTTTATTGCATTAATCAATTCAAAATTTACTCGATAAAGTATAAAGTAACTTTAAAACATAATTTATATTTAAATATATGTACATGTTCTACAAAACTTTGATATTTGCACAAATTAACATACATAACGTACTGATAACTTTTAGTCAATGATAACAATGTTCCGTCGACTGGTGTCGTTTGGAAACAATTGAAAAGTTCATAATTGAATATCTATAGAGTTGATTGAAAAAATGATTAATTAAAAAATCTAAAAACGATATTTTAAATAAATCTATTCAATTACAGGAGGGATGCTGGTGGTTTCAGTATCAGTGGCGGGGCTGGTTACCCTTGCGGCTATGACCCAGCCAGCATTGGCACCAGAAGCGAAGCATTCACTCCTTCAGTATGTAACTGGAAAATATTTGCTGCCAAGCAATTGCCGTGTTCATTTCGAGTGGGAGGAACCGCAGTTAGTTGGAGAAACTATGACGTTTACTGTTAAAGTACGATTTTTTTTTTTTTACTCAATCTCGGAAATTTTTTCATTTTCCTCTTAGTAAAATTTATATAAACATTGAATAATAATAAAATATATTTTTTACCTTTTAGTTTTATCAACGTAATGGACAACCCTACCCAATCTGCGACAAAGACAATCTAATAATAGATGTTTCTGAGGGTACAAGACGTGTAGCAACCCTAATAGATTTAGGCGGAACAGATCCGTTAGCGGCTAATACTGCTGTTGTTAAATTTACCGTACGACATGCTGGACAGTATCGTATAGCTGTGTTAATTGGTTCTTGTCATGTACATGGCAGTCCTTTTCTTAAAAACTTTCTTCCTGGTACGTGTAATTTTCTTCTTCCTTCTATTAATTTCAACAAAAAAAAAAAAATTACAGCCAAATTGAAAATGTTTTATTTAATATTAAAAAAAATTTCTGTCATTTTTTAAATAATACTATGATATTATTTTATAATAAATGATATTTATTAAATTATTAATCGTATTATGAATTATAAACTCATTAATTATAATTATGATTAATAATAAATACTTTTCTGTAGACATCAAATTGGAGGTAAATAAATACTGAGTCGTGGTTGTTATATGAAATTGTGGTTTCCTTTGTGCGATTTGATGGCTTAATATTTATTATATATCTATATTATTTATTGTAGTAATTATTATTTTGGTCTTGTAACAGGGCCACCGGATCCCAATAAAACAGTATTTGTACGGCAGAGCTCAACTGTCGTATGCACAGCTGGAATCGCGCATTCCATGACAATAGAACCCAGAGATGAATACGACAATCTGTGTGTATTTAGCTCTACAGATCACCCCACTGACGGCTATAACATCAATATTACTCAGGCAAGTTGATTGCTTCCATTAAAATATTTTGTTTCTTTTTTTTCTGGGCTTTTTTTTCTACGGCGGATTATTGGGAATATATTGATTTTGGATACCAGATTGGGTGTACAGAGGAAGGTCAAGCCGTGGTCTGTAATATACAGTTGGAATACGATCAACCGAATCAGAGAATCCGATTAAAAGTTGGATTTCCAAAGGGTGGCTGTTATCACGCAACAGTAAGTCTTGCAGGACTGCAGCTGCACAATGGGGACTTTGATATCATCGTACTTGATAGTATGTTTTCATTTTTATAAATTCTACTTCACTAACTATATTTATTACGACATATTAATTATATTAATTTTACTTGCTACTTGATTTTAGGTTCTGTAGCAAGAATGGTACATAATAACGTTGCTTCTAAAGACCCAGATATCTGTTACGCTGCTAAATTATTAGGGATGCAAGGTGAAAGATTTTCAAAACCTAAAAAAGTTTTTTGTTTTATATCACCAAAACAATTAACAATAAAAGAATACCTTCTGAAATTTATACCTAAGCGTCTTGTTACATTCAGACTTTGCCCGTCAACTAAGGTAATATTTTTATTTAATAAATTAATTAAAATTAGCAACTTTACAGTCACTATGTAACTGCCGTGACTTGTGAACTATAAATAAATAAAATTTTGCTTTATTAAATAATGACTTTTGTTAAATTGTACTGTACTTTTTTAATTATTGACGTTTTCAAAGATATAAGCTCATCCCGATGTTACACTCATCAAGAGCTTTCATTTGAGTACCCACATGCATTTTTGATAAATTTTTCATATATACATATATATAATATATATAAATATATAAAAAATTGATGTGGGTACTCAAATGAAAGGTCTTGATGAGTGTAACATCGGGATGAGCTTATATCTTTAAAAATGTCAATAGTTCACGAGATACAAGGTCATTTCTTGATTATATATCTAAAGATAGAGCATTTTCGAATGCAGCCTAAATAATTATCATCATAAATTGACTATTCGTGAGAATAATATGAAACCATGAAAAGGCATGAAACTCTAGGTCAAGACTTTTCCGACGATACCAAATTTAACTATAAAAACCTATTTTATCATATAAATACACTGGCCACAAAATTTTGCTTATTCTCTTAATAATATAGATAATTTTCTTATTACAGTTTCATTTTGATAATTCAAATAATGAATATGAAGGCTACGATTCATTTTCAATAGACGACGGTTGCCAGCCACCGGTAGAATTAATATCCCACTACCGTGATGTTATTGCCGCAACATTTACCCTATTCTTACTAAAAAATATCGGCGGTAGTGAAACATTTGCAGATAAACAAGATTTTTTTTACCATGAAGTTAGAAAGCATCATCAAAAGCATTATCATGAAAAACTTACTATCAAAGTTCAAAGAGATAAATTATTAGAATCAGTAAGTTTATTCACTAAGTAAATTTTATCAGTTAAAAAATCAAAAAATAAATTAAAAAATTATTTCAGTCAATGAAAGCGACAAAAAGCTTTTCAATAAGCGATTGGTGTCGGAATTTCGAAATCACATTCCAAGGAGAACAAGGTATTTATTATTAAACGATAAAATTGTCCGTTGAAGTAATAAAATAATTTATTTTTCAAAGGTGTTGACTGGGGCGGAGTAAGGCGTGAATGGTTTGAATTGATATGCGCAGCACTATTTGATCCAGGAAATGGGTTATTTGCATCATTCGGTGAATCACAACAAGCCTTAGTACATCCTAATAACAAAAGATCTCAAAATCTCAAGTGGAAGCATTACGAATTCGCAGGACGTATTGTTGGTAAATGTTTGTACGAATCAGCTCTTGGTGGGTCTTATCGTCAGTTAGTTAGAGCTAGATTCACGCGTTCATTTCTTGCACAAATAATAGGCCTTAGAGTTCATTATAAGGTAAGTAGTGCTTTTTATCACTTATTACACTAATGATGATAATAATAATAATAATAATAATAAATAGTAACGAATAAAAAACCGAATTTTATTGCAGTATTTTGAGCAAGATGATCCCGATTTATACCTAAGTAAAGTTAAGTACATTTTGGAGAACGATGTTGAAGAAATGGAGTTATTTTTCGTAGAAGAAGAGTACGACAAAGATGGACAGTTGACGAAAGTCGCTGAATTAATACCTGGTGGTAGTAAACTACGTGTTACAAATGACACTAAATTACGTTACTTAGACGCTCTTGCTCAGCATCGACTTGCAAGTTCTATCAGAAATGAAGTTGACTCATTTTTACGTGGTTTAAATGAACTTATTCCTGATAATTTGCTCGGTATATTTGATGAAAATGAATTGGAGGTAATAATTAATATCTACAGAATAAAATTAAGAGATTCAAAGTTTAAATAAAATTTATTTATTCCATTTAATTATTACAGCTTTTACTTTGTGGTACTGGCGAGTACAGCGTAGCAGATCTTCGTGCGCATCACGTAGTAAACGGCAGCTCTCCGGAATTTTTACGCGTACTAGACTGGTTTTGGACGGCAATTAGTAACTTTACGCAAGAAGAGATGGCCCGATTGCTCCAATTTACAACTGGCTGTTCGCAATTACCACCCGGAGGCTTCCAACAATTAAGCCCACGATTTCAAATCACCGCTGCTCCAACTTTTGCCAATTTACCCACTGCTCACACTTGGTAGTGTATTCTTATTCTAATTGTTTGATTTTAATGTCCGTATTTTAATTGTTGTTACTTTTATTTTCAGCTTTAACCAACTCTGCCTGCCTGATTATGAATGCTACGATCACTTCGAACGCGCTCTACTGCTGGCCATCAGCGAGGGAACTGAAGGTTTTGGCATGATTTAAACATTTTTTTATTTTAATATCAATCTTACTTGTGTGAGACTTACGCCCGGAACATCTGATGTCTGGCTGTTGTTTTTTTATGAATAATTTTCCTCTCCTAATTACTGTAGAGCATCCAGTTTTTACTAAACTACATTTTAGCAACGTCAAACTCAGCAGAAAGTTTGAATAATTTTTAATCAAGACATTTAAATTTAAATTATTAATTTATTTCTTCATTAATCTATTTTAAAAATACCTCTTTTTAGTATTCATACTATTAAGTAAAAAAACAATACTAAGTATTCTAAGCTACATTCTTTCTTGACTAAATTGATTATAATTTTAACAATTAATTAACTAAACGATCAAAAATATACAATCTAGTCGCATTGGCCAATGAATAATACTAGTCACTGAAAAAAATACTCACTTCATAATTTACTATGAATTGTTTAACAACAATTTATTCTAAAAATAATTCTTCCAAATTTTTTTTTATTTGAAAATGATTAAATGTAATAGAAGGTATTTTTTTCTTTGGATTTAAAAAAAAAAAATCAGCTTCTTTAATGAGCAAATGTTTACCAGCGATTTATTTTTTTTCTCAGTGTGTAAAAAAAAACGGTTGAATGGATTTATATTAATTTTATATTTTAATATTAAAAAAAGCAAGTGTTAATAAAATTATGTCTCGTTACAGTATTATTGATTTTTGGTATACTTGTGCTTTTGTGATTGCGTAGTGATAAATGAAAAAAAAAAAAAATTAAATTTTGTCAATGTGACCGATGATTATTCTAATATTTTTTCACGTTAATCTTCAACGAGCCTTTTGCTCTATTATTATTTAAAAATAATAATAAACAATAGCACTGAATAGTGTATTCGTAGCCTAAAAATTGAATAGCAATCTATAAAATAATTTTGTTAATTAGTATGTACGAGTAGTCTTGAGAAAGTAATTTAATAAATAATAATTAACTAAATACTCATTGAAATGTTGGAAAAATAATTGATACTCATTAAAATTATAAAATAGACGTGACTTTTTACGAAACAATTTCTAATGCTCATTGAATTTAAATCTAATAAATAATAATCATGATAATATAGATAAAATAGATTACCATGCGCCGTAAATAAAAATAAAAATTTATTGGTTAAAAATATTGCAAAATTATAATCATTATTTTCAATAAAATTGTCACAAACTTTTCTAATAGCTTTTTGAGGCTGTATAAATACAATCTGTAAGTAATGTACTTATAGATTAACTTGTACTTAATTAATGATGAATTAGTTAATTGATTGAACAGTAGCTTTATAATCAAATAAAATAGGCTGATTAGGGTGTTTGATAAAATAAAGTAAAATTATATTATTAATATTAATAATAATAATAATAATAATAAAACAGTAATATAATATAGTATTAATAATAATTATTATTAATAAAAAATAATGATAATGTATCGTCAAATAATGGCTGTTCAGTACTTGGTACTAATTACCACTATTGGTACTAATCCAATATAGGTAACAGAATAATGAATAAATAAAAACTAAATAATCAATAGTTTATTATTAATAATCATGGTAATTGGTAATATTTTTTGAAATAGAATGTTTATAAATTTGTTTAGCTCCACAAATTAATATACAATGTGAAACATAATTAAACAATCGATAATACTGTAAGCTTTATTATCCTTTTTAATGTTCTAATAGATTGGGTTTTTTTTCAATGACGTACAAAATTAATCTAAATACTATTAATAATTAAAATAATTAGCGGTGATAAGTTTATTTATCTTATTTTATTGTCTGTAATTAATACTCTCTATTCGAAATTTTTTAAGATTTCATAGTATTGCGAATAATTAATTTATTATGTTTTTAAAAATAAAATTATGTATATGATTTATTAACTAAAAAAAAATGTAAATAATTTAATGCAGAGAGTAGTTGTTGGAATTAATAAATGAAATAATTATTTTATATTAAAATAATTATTTTATAGATGAAAAAAAAAAATAATGAATTGTTATTCTTATTTATATAAATTATGTATATTTCATATTTTTAATTATCTTGTTACATATACACATATATAATGCTAGTATAAAAAATTAATAATAATTGATGCATTAGCAATTTAACTAGCTCTAATTTCTTTATATAGCCCAAAAATTTTTTTTTCGTTTTTTCTCATGACAAAAAAAATGTTTCTATTTTAACTCTGACGTTGATATATGTGCGAAGATTCTATATAGTTTAAATCGATGGTGGCTATTTTAAAACCTTGCATTGATAATGTTTAAAATCATTTCTAATTTTTTGTTTGTCATTAAATAATTTGATTTTTTTTTATTTATATTAAATTTAAATTATATAAAAAAATTTTTATGGACGCGAAGGAATTCCGCCGAATGCTAAGAATGAAAGAGTACGTAAAATAACTTGCGGTGCTCTTACAACACTTCCTGCTATTTGCAAAACTCTACTACTCCATCCACATACTTGGCTTTGTTTCAGTAATTTTTCTCTTAAGTCACGAATTTCAGTCCTGCATATTATTTATAAATATTAATATTATAATCATAAATTTATTAACTATAAGTTTTAATTATCACTAACAACAATAATTTATAATAATAATAATAATTATTATTATTATTATAAACTAATAAATATTTATTTAAAGTTTACTCACAACTGAGATCTATAAACAGATTCAATCTTACGTAACGCAGCTTCGCGATCACTCAACTGTATTTCGAGATTACTTATCCGCAAGCTCAATACTTTTTCGCGATCCTCGCTGACTAATAAAAATTTTTCCGCTTCTATTTTCTTTTTTTCAATATCCTCTAAATTCCTAAAATTGCAATTTATAATCGTTACATCATATATCATATCTTGAAACTTTGTCATCAATTATTCAAAAAACAAACTTGACAAGTTGTTGCTTTTCTTCTTTCAAACTTTCAACAATAGCCATGTGAATATTTAACTTGTTTGTCAACTCTTCCACATTGTTCTCAGCTCTCTCCATCCGCTCCTCGCGTTCAGTTGAAATTTTTTCATACATCGCAAGCTTTATAAATCAAAAACAAAAACTAGTGATTAAATTTTCTTCTTACTAAACTAAACTAAGGAAAAAGTTTTAATTTATTTATCTCAACTCAACAAGTTAAACTTGTTGATAAAAAAAAGTCTGTCCTCTATAAGAAAGTTTTATATAAAAGGAAAAGACATATCGATTTCTAGTTTGCTTCAGTTATAGCGAAATTGGCATTACGCGAGTTTGAGTCATCAGACGAATTATTACCGCATGAATCATCCCTTTGCTATGTACTCACGCGTACATTGAACTTAAAGATACATCGCCCTTTTAAGTACATTTTATTTTAATCGCAAAATTAATTACACTTATTTATAATTAATAAAAAAATTCATTAAAATATTTTTGTGAAGAATTTCTTGGTAATAAAAAAATTCTCTACTCATTATTTAAAAGTAATCAAAAGTTTATCAAAACAATCCTAGATCCTAGAATCGCGAGTGAATCATCAGTTCGTAGAACTCAGAAGCACAAAGCTACCCTACCACCCTTCCACCCACAACCTAGTCACTAAGTCTAGAGTACAATGCGCCCTGGTAGGTAGATACCTACCGCCAATATGACTCACCACATTAACACACTTACACAATTTTGCCAATCAATTTCGTCGTTAAAAAAATAGGTCGACTTAATGCAACATCAATTCATCCTCAATACAACTTTTACTAACTAAGCTAACTTAACTTTTAATTAAATGGATAATTTTTTTTAAAAACCTGTACCTTGTCCAATAAAATTTGCTTATCATCCCTCAATTTTAATAATTTTTCTCTGTCTTTCATAATCTGCGTATCAACAGCCTTTACCTGATTTTTGGTACTTAATAATTCATTTTTATAGTTTTCAATTGTAATTTTTTGTTCTTCAGTTACTTGATTTATTGAATTCAAATCACTTTTTAATTTTTTATTTTCCTGTAATAAAATTATTTACTTAAATTAAAGATTCCTTATTTATTAAAGAAAATTTTGTTCTAAAAAAATCAAATATTTTTTAACATTTTACGTAAAAATGTGCAACAAAAGTAAATTTTCTTTGTCAGTAAAATTGAAAGTATTTTATGTTTAATAATAAAATACAACAAAGATTAATGTTATTTATATAAACACATAAAATTGAATAAAATTTTCTTATTAAAGACCAATACATTCAATAATATGAAGGTGTCGGTCTTAAATAAAAAAAAAAATTATAAAAACATAATTTACATTAGTAAGAGTTTCCTTTTCTTTGGTAATACTGTCAAGCTGCATTTTAGCGCGATGAACTTGGGCGCCAAGTTTACCGACCCGGCTATTCTCGGTGTCCAGTAATCGTCTCAATACAACAATCTGCAACTGCAAGTGATCTATTTGCTGACGTAGCTGTTCAATAATCCCATTAAGATCGATTACTTCCTCACGCCTGCGTCTCCATGCATTTATTATCAGCGTGTGGCAAACAATGCTCGCGGCTTTTTTCTTCATTATTACTTCCAAATCTTTGCTATTGCTCTCATTGTTATAATTATTGATACTATTAATATTGATATTACCATTACTGGCATCTAGCCAAGTTTTTTTGGACACATCATCTAAGCTACAAATTTTGTCTCTGTCCATGTCAAATACGCTTTTTTCTTCTGGCCTGATACAATAAAATTAGCATGAAAATTAATTTAGCAGATATTTGATAATTTTATAAATTTTTTTAACAAATAAATCATGGCAAAAAAAATTGACATGTAGAAATTTTAATAAGTTAAAAATGCAATTTTATTAAAATTATTTTAAAAAAAAATTTATTTGTTATAAAAAAAAAAAAATTAAAAAATGATCAAGACTGCTAACTCAGCAATAATCAATATTTTATTTTGGTCAATAATTCCGAATAAAAAATAAAAAATATTCAATGGTTGTAAAAATGTCAACGATTTTTATTTTTTTTTTTTATTTTATAAACACCCTCAAGCGATGATATAAAGGAAAGAAAATAAACTTTCACAGTTCACAGCTTGTATTTTCATCTAATCGTTGAGTTTGGTAGTTAAAAGGCAGCCTAAGAAGAATCTTTGAAGTGGTTAAAATAAAACAAATCTAATAAAATACAAGCGTATAGTATATATACACATATAATAATTATACAGCACGGCTATACCAGTAAGAAGCATCAAGAGAATACGAGGACACTCTTGTCTCATTTGCTGAAACGTATTTAATATTGCTATTTATAAACCAGTATAAAAGACTAAATAAAATTATACTGCGTTTGCTTTACTTTCTGGTTTAACTGTTGCTGCCTTAACTTTTACTTTTAATTTATTTTAACTTCTCGAGCTTTATTTAGCTTTTATTTTTCTCTTTTTCGCTTGTCGCTACCACGCTCTATGTTAATGTCAATTTTTTTTGTTCTAGAGAAAGATAAAAGTTATGAAAAATCGTTGACGTGTGCTAATCATTTACACATGTCACATCTACCACACATTTTTATTTTCTCATTTACTTAAGTAAAAAATATTTAAATATTTATAGCTAAATTCATCACCTATCAATTAATCTGGTGTTCATTTTAGCAGGCGACAATTCAATTAACGAAACGCTTTTTCTCGATTCATAGCAAGCGGGTCCACTAACGCACGGCAATCGAGAATTTTTGACATCTTTTTTTATCGGTCTTGGGACTTTGTTTCCTAAAATCCTAACAGAGGACTTTGAAGGTAATCTTTTAGGACACTTGACAGGTAATTGAGTTCTGCGATTGACACTCTTAACCAATTTTTTTTCAGAATTTATTTTAGTATCATTTTTAATTTTATTTATCTCTGACTGTTGTGAGATGTCGGTATTTTTGGAGTCACTAACTGCTGTCGCTTCTTGTTGCATCCTACTCACTTTATTTACTTTTTTATTATGTAAAATTGTCGAATGAGCTTTAAAAGTTATTTATTTTTTGTCTTTATATGAGTGTATACATATACTCATATTTTGTCATGACGACAGATTTAATCAACAGTTGAATTACTATAATTTTTTCTTTTATTTAAATTATTACTATTCTAACAATTTAAATGGATGTTTAGTGATAAGCTTTATCAATTTTTTTTTTTTTTTTCAAATTAACTTATAAAAAATAAAATAAATTTAAAGATGGGTTTTTTTAATTTGATTTGGATAATTAAAATTTTTGAAACAAAAATAAATTTACAAGGAATTTATTTTTTAATATCAATATAATTGTGTGAATCTTGTCTTTTAAATTACGACATTAAAAAGATTAAAAAATGGCCATATCAATTAACGTGTGAAAACTCTTCTTTAAATTTTTTAAAAACAATAATTAATATAAGTCAAAATAATATATAAAATTATTTTTTAATCCTTAATCTTATTAATTATTTAAATCTTAAAAAACAAGACTTATTTTGCAAATCATTCAGAATTAATTGATATATGCTATGAGAAAATATATGTATTATATATTTTACACACTAAAATTATTATATTAGATCTATAAAGTATAATTCCAATAAAAATTACATTTTCTCATAAATAATACCCAAGACTTTTAATTTTATTCTTTGTAACAAGTAAATGATAATTATGATTATAATGTGATAAAAATTGTAACAATGGGTAAATCCACGCCATAAATTATGACATAAATATATTTATACTAAAATATATTCCGTAAAAAATGTATTTAAGTCGATAAGTAAATAACTTTTATTGTTCAAATGTCCCACGTAATTTAAATCCGACTATTAACTGATTTTTACTTATGCAATTTAACATTAAAATTCAGAGTATTTTTATATTTAATTATATCATAAACTTAAATAATTTATTTAAAAATTTTACTTATCAATAAAAATTATTTATTTACCTACAAATTAACAATCGATATAATAAATTAATTGATTGCCCATTATACTAATTGTAATACCAATATGAGACTATCATTAGTGAATATTAGGGAATTGTGGGAAAAAACGTCAATTGAAAGACAATAAAATTTTTGAATCGTCAATATTTTATAATTTTATCGATTTAAAAATTTACAACATTTATTAATCATAAAAATACACAATAAAATATTTTTTAATAAATAAAATAATTTCTTCGAAGGATAAAGAAATGATGGATGTAAAATTCATCATAAATAAGTATTTTATTACATTGATTTTAATTACACTTTTATTTTCAAAGTCACAAGACAAGAAATTAAAAATTTTCGATAAAAAGTAAGTTATTAAATTCCTTTTTAATTATTAACTTCCGTATCTAATCTTTCAAAATTAATTAACAATAAATACAATGTAATACCACTCCAAAAGTCGTACTTATTTCTTCGCTGATCCATAAAATAAATCTTGAAAGGATGTACAAGCGCAGGTATTAACAATGACCATCACAGAGTGAAGAAATTTCTTGTCGAATGACATTTAAAACTACATAAAATTATAAATTCATTACGCATTTCAGGACCTTTTAATTATTACATTATTGACGTCAATCTGATGATTGTGAATTTATTTTCTCCCGCCACGGCTTTCTTTTATCTTGAACAGAAAAAAAAATTAAAATTCTTAAGTCTAATTTTCAAAATTAATTCAATTTAATTAAATATAAATATGCAATTAATTGCCGCGGTAAAACTATTTGTTTATTTTTAACTAAAACAATTTTAAAACACTTGTAAATAATAGTTTTGATTAAGTGTTTTTTATTTTCTCAATTAGTTATTTATCTACAAAAAAAAAAAACCTAAAAATTATACGATAATTGGTGTCGTAAATAAAAAATAAATTTCACGATAAAATTTAGGCATCAATGTAAAATTTTTTAAATGAAGTTTTCCCGCTTAATACTCATCAAAATAAATCTGACCTTGAAACAAATTACGTGTTGTTCCGGCCGACCAATTAGAGATAAAAAAATATTCTATACATTGATACAAAACTAAACTATCTATTATGTGTATAAATTTGAAAGTATATAAAATAAAATATTAACTTGAGTTTATTTTATTAAAAAATCGGATTAATTCAAAACTTGACAGATTGAATAATTAAAATTATTTTTTATAATTGCGTTAAAAAATCAAGGTTTAATTTAAACTGTACTTACAATTACAATAAAAAATTTTATCAATCATCAGATACATACATTTATTAATATGTTTGTATAAAAAATATGTTAATATTAGTAGTATAAGCCAGCGCTAGAAATAAAATACAAATGGCGCATGCGTGTGTTTTTTAAACGTGTGTGTTGTGTAGTTAATATTAGTCAGTAATCAGAAACTACTACATGCAATGTAGATCGTTATGTATACAAGTGTATATTAATGTTTTATGTATATGTATACAGATACCGTAGTATATTTTATTTCTCGTGGCTCGTGTATCGTGTAATATGGTGCAGTGTTCATTCTCATTCTGGTTCCAACTTGATATTCACCATATTCACCATCTAGTTTAAATAAATCTATTTTTTAAAAAACAATACACAGTTTTGTGTAAAAATATCTGTTGTAATAAATAAATTATTAAATTATTTAATAGATCAATCAAGATTTTTTATAAGAGCTATTATAACTTGGATTGTCAAGTTCAACATTTGTGTTAGTGTCTAAGTCTAGTGATAATTAACCATTATAAATAACAATAATAAATTTAATGGATATTAAATTATATAAAAAAATGTATTTTAATTATTAGACTCTAAAATTATTTATAAATACGTGGATAATTTTATTGACGGCTGGAAAGTTACCATTTAATTTAAGAAGTGAAGGGAATGGGACAGAAGTGACTTTGGAGTCACCGATCATCTGTTATTTGTTTGTCTACGTCGTTATTATTAAACAAACCATAATATTTTATAAAATTGGGAATAATAACCAACGACAATAAAACGAGTTGATAAATTCGCTATGAGTTTTAAGGCAAGTGCTACGTTTTTTGCATTGTTGTCCTAAGATAGTTTAATAATAGCCATCACCAGGAGTGAGTTTTAAGTTAAGATGAGTAACTCAACATTAACGTTGAGCTGAGAGTTTAACTGAAGAAAAGAGCTGCTAGGTTTAGTTCAGCTCAGCCCAAAATAATTATTCGATCACCAGCTTAAACTCTACTCCATTTCTCTCTTCTTTTTTTAATTTCCCCCTCGTGTTTGTGTTTTTTATTTTTATTTATTTTCTTTATCTCACAAGTACTTAAGATTTACTTGCCCTAATATTTTTTTTTTTTCATTTCCCACTTCAATAGTTTATTTATCTGATTGCTCTATTTTTTCTGTTTACCAAAAAACAATGAATTATTTAGTTATAAATAAGTAATAATTAATAATTTTTTTTTATGCAGATATTTAAAGTATATATATAGTCATCTAACAAGAGGCATGGATCAGTATCATGATATGAATGATAATATTAATATAAGTGATGTCAGTAAGTACTCTTAATAATTTATATCTACAAATTGTTGCATTCTTGGGTATTTTTAAATCAATAATCATAAAAATGAAAATTTTTAAGTGGATACTAATATATTTTACTACCGATTACTTGGTAGTTAATAAATAAATTAATCACTTTATTTTTTTATTTATTAATGTTGTTAACTTGGTACTTTAATTATTTAACTTAATAAATAAATTTCAGTTGAAGTGATTCAAACAACGGATCCAGAATTTGTCGAGGAGGCTAGATGTCGGAATCAACATCAACAGCAACAGCAACAACAAACTTTGAATATGTTATCTGGTGGTGGAGTAGAGACGGTAAAACCAGTTCTTGCTGGTAACACATCAAGCAGGGTTGGATCATATGTTGAAATAATAGAACAACCCGCGAGTAAGGCCCTTCGATTTCGATATGAATGTGAAGGTCGATCTGCTGGAAGTATACCAGGTGTTAACAGTATACCTGAAAATAAAACATTTCCTAGTATAAGAGTAAGTAAAAGCTTTTTTTGTTTTTAATAATTATTTATCAATTTAATGAGAATGTCTAAACATTTTTTCATTTCTGAAAATTTTGCAGTTCATTTTTTGTCAATCTATGTGTTTAAAAATTTTTATTTCAAATGATTATTAGTTTTAGAGTTACATTAACGACATAAAATTTAATATAATAATAATAATAATAATAATAATAATAATAATAATAATAATTAGTTTCATAAATTTATGAGGTTAAAAACAAACCAATTAATCGCTCCAAGAATTTTTTTATCAAAAAATGTGATCTCTTTACAAAGAAAAAAAAAAATTGCTTTAAAATTATTTAAACAAATATAAATATTTTTTGATTTATTAAATAATAAAATTATTTTATATTAAATGAATAATTATCATCACAGATAGTGGGATATAAAGGACGAGCAGTTGTCGTAGTATCATGTGTAACGAAAGATCCACCGTACAGACCTCATCCACACAATTTAGTTGGTAAAGAAGCATGCCGACGTGGTGTTTGTACCCTGGAGATATCTTCGGAAAATATGACTGTGACTTTTGCAAACTTGGGGATTCAGTGTGTCAAGAAGAAAGACATTGAAGAAGCACTGAGAATCCGGGAAGAAATTCGTGTTGATCCTTTCAGAAGTACGCATTGCTTGTTTTTATTAATTTATTATAATACTAGCCGTTCCGCTGGGCGTTTTATCGAATTGCATTTTTAGATCTAGACTTGAAATTTAATTAGAGTATTTTTTTGACTTGGATAGATTCCCAATTCTACCAAATTGGCATGCGCCTTTTATCCATATAATTATTCTAGCTAATATTCATTGTAACTTTCAATGTGCAACCATTATAATATTCCCGTGTCTTCCTTACAAAGATGAATAATAATTGATATGAAAAAAAAAAAATTTGTAATAAGCATTGAAAGTTTCAGTTAAAGAAATTGCAGGTCTCATAAGTGAATAAATCTGCTCAGTATGTAAACATAACCAATAGAATTAAAAAATTTATTTTAAACAAATAACAATCGAATAGAATAAATTTAGTTACAATAAAAATTCATTATTTCTAAATCAAAAAAATATTGTTCCGAAAAAACCTTCTGCGAAATACGATGCATCTTATGGTATAAGTATTATACCGATCGGTTCAGTAGTTTTCGCAGTATAACCGGACAATAAAACCGACTCGCCATTTATTAGTATAGATAGAAGATTAACAATCAAATTATTTGTTCCAGCTGGTTTCAGTCATAAAAGACAACCCGCAAGTATTGATTTAAATGCAGTTAGATTATGCTTTCAAGTATTCCTTGAAGGAACTGAGCCAGGAAAGTTCACCGTGCCACTGACACCGGTTGTATCAGATCCTATTTATGACAAAAGTGAGCTTTTATTTTGTTTAATTATTCATAAAATTTAAACGATACTATATTTATTTTATTGCTATCATTATAGAGGCAATGTCTGATTTAGTAATCTGCAAACTAAGTCACTACAGTGCGCCAGTAGCGGGTGGTATGGAGATGTTATTGTTGTGTGAAAAGGTCGCTAAAGAAGATATTCAAGTACGGTTCACTGAAGAACGTGACGGTCAGATTGTTTGGGAAGGATTTGGTGATTTTCAACCATCACATGTTCACAAGCAGGTTAATTTTTTTTTTTTATTAGTTATACTATTAATTAGAAAAATAATTTATTGAAGATTGATTATTGTTCTACAGGTAGCGATATCATTCAGAACACCGACATATCGCATCCAACAAGTAGAACATCCAGTACAAGTTTACATTCAGCTAAGAAGGCCCTCAGACAGCGCAACTAGTGAAGCACTACCGTTTCAATTTTTACCACTTGGTGCAGGTAGGCCCGCGTTTTGGTCTCTAAGAAAAATTTTAGATAAAAAAAAAGCCGATCCCGAGGTATTTAATAAAATAATTGCCACCGATACGTCCATATTTGGTGGCGTTAATCAACGATTACCAAAAAATTTAGACGAATTTAATAATAACTCAAACAATAATAATAGTAACTTTGATTTAGCAATATCACACGGTAAAATATCAGCACTGCGTGCTCTAAATGAGCTTTACAATAAAAATACCATTGATCGAAATTCAAATAAAGATAATATTGATAAAAAATTAAATAATAATTTTCAACAATCGTTAATTAATTCTCCGTCTATAAATAATGATATAGGTATTGAAAATATACAGGTGATTAAAAATTCACAAGATAAATATTTAAATGACGATAAAATTCCATTTGTGAATGAATCAATGGATACCAAGAAAAAAAGCTATATTCAAAATGAAAATACAAATAACCCGGGCATTGAATTGTTGCCAAAAAATAAAACTGATTGGTTTGACTACTCGGAAGTTGGCAAGTGGGTCCAGCAAAGTAAAGAGGACTCTTTGAATACCGAACCTACAATAAATCTTAATAATAATATTAACAATAATAATAACAATAATTTGAATAGCTCAGCTAATGACGACGAAGCAAAATCATTAAATGAATTAATAACACAGGTCGCGGAACTCGACGAGATTTACGCTGACACGCATACTAAAATAATTCAAAATAGTTTACTAGCTCAGTCAAATACAATCAACGATGATAAATATCAGCAAACATTAATGGATATCGATAATTGCGATAACCAGACGTACACCAGCCTGCAGTTGGCTATGAAAAACCCAATAGATATCCAATCATTTGATGGGATCGATGGAGATAGAGAAGACGATCGCAAGTACGAAGATGTCGCTATACCAAGTCGCGAAGCAAGTCTGCCTCCAGGTCCGCCACCGCCTTTACCGCCTTCCTCGTCATTATTGATCACCAAGAGGGATGTCGGGCACACTTACGACGGAAAAATACCACCGTTGCCGCCGAAGCGCTTGCGAAAAATGACAACTTCGATGCCGACGTTACCGCGTTCATCCTCGCAGTGCGCGCAGATGTCGATGAATGACAGCGCGCCTAACAAAAATTTGCCGTCATTACCTAACACTCTTACCAAGTCCAAGCAAAGTTTATTCGCAAAATTGTTCAATAAAAAATACACCAGCAGCAATCATAAGAAGGATAATAATACCAAAGACTTGGAGTTGGTGCGTAATAATTTGATCAGTAATGACGATCAAAGTCGCTTTTGTGAGCAAGATGACAATGTTTCAATCTCTATAAGAGACAGTATTCAAGATATTGCGGGAAAAACGTCAGAGTTACCGCGACCTAGTGTTGCCAGTGTAACAGCTGTTAAATCATTTGATATTGATGGCGATGAATCTCCGCCTTATGGAATCGAATTGACTGAAGCCGAGCACTATGCTCTTTACACCGCTATGGCACCACATGCTACCGCTTCCGAGTTTGATGAATTGTCATTTTATTACAGTCCTGTTGAGGGTGGAAAAATTTTAACTGATACCAAAGAAACGTAATACTGTTTTTTGATAATCATAATCAGTTTGTTTTTTAAAAGTTGAGTTATTTTTCGAGCTCAAACTTTATATGCTCAATAATTGAAAAAAAAAAAAAAAATTGCAGCTATTTTTATGCTTATACTTAATAATTAGGAAAAACGTCGTATTAAATACTTATTTATTTAGATTTTTTTATTATGCACTAAGATATAAATATAACTGAGTTCATCAATTAATTATTTAATTTTAATTAATCATTTACTTAAAGTGCTTCCATAATTTTTTTTTATTGAATTATTTAATACGACGCTTTAAAAATTTAATTACTTTATTAATTTAATTATATATTTATTGAATGTTTATCTAGTCGTTAAAAATACTGGATAAAATTTTTCTAGCATTTGTGATTTGCAAGTTTGTTTTTTCTAGTCAGCAAAGTGCCATAGTTTGTTAAGTTTTATTAATGATAAATATAAATATTATTATTGACCGAACAATATAAATAATAGGTATGAAATATCTCAACAGATTTATCAGTACAAATATAAATTCTTAAATTGTTACTTGTTAGGATCGATAATCAAAGTTTGTTGCTTTTGATTCTGTACAATTGCTCTAGTTTTTCACAACTTTTATTAGATACTTATACATATTAAGTTGGCGATGGGTTAAACACTAAGTAAATTTTTTAATAAGCAAAATTTATAAATTAAAAAAAAAAATTCATAGATGATCCAGACTATCTTAAACGAAAGAGGAAAAAACTTAATAACAGTCCTAGCTTACTTGTACAACAAGTACAAGCTGAAGTTAATCAACGTGAGTATTTTATTTTGATAGAAATAATTTTTTATGTTAAAAAATTTTAATTCGAATAAATTACTAATTGTTCATAAATATCTTCTGCTTGTCTTTAAATGGGATATAGAAGGGATCTATATTTTATACAAGCACTCATTGCATAAAATATATTTATATTAAAATTTTTTTCACATTAGATTTGAAAATCGTGATTTTGTTAGGGTTGATTGTTTTAAATAAAATTTTATTTTAAAAAAAATGATAAATTAAATTTTTAATTATAAATGCACTGTTACGATTTTCAAATCATTTAAATTGTATACTAACAAATAAAAATACACAAAAAGCAATTGCTTTTTATTGTTATATAAATACAATATTATTTAAGAAATATTACAGGTTGCAAAATATTCCCACTTTTTTAATTCTCGGTTAAAGGGTAAAGATAAAACTAACAAGAAAAAATATGATTATTTTGTAAAAATATTTTTAGCAAACCTGTAACACTAATATATTTTACATGAATCTTATACTTAAAATTTGAGTAAAGTAATAATAAATATAAATGTATTTTTATTAAATAAAACTTTTTACATTTATTTTTCCTCCAGACTATCAAAATAAATAATAATTATTGATAGTTGGAAATATATTACTGAATATAGACTAGTTACCGATAAATGCTTTAATACCTTATAATTACTTGTAAATAAAAAATCGAAACATATTATTGTTGATTGTTACAACAGTCGGCATTATTTTTCAGCTTGGAAAATATTTAAAACTTCGACTATTGATTACAATTTTGTAAAGATAATATTTACGACGGAAGTACTTGGATACTTTGTTTTTTTGTATTTTGTACACTTTTTTAATGAAATGCATTTTATAGAGAAAATACTTGTCAATTTTTGTAATTTGATGGAGACAAATATTTTTACAAAAAAAGTGGCCTTTTCATGATATAAATTTATATATTTATATCTATACATAAATCAAGTTGAAACACTTTGAAATTTTATAGAGCGTTGCTCAATTTTTTGAGAAAAAAACAAATTTTTCTTTATAAAAAAAAAACTTGTATTGTTGCTCGTACTTTTAATACAAATTTGTCTTTTAAAAACATAAAATTTTTTGCGATACAATTTTAATAGAGCTTTCAAATATATATTGTCATAATTGTATTGATTTGTCTTTTAAAAAATATATTAATATTTACAACTTATAAAAAAGTATTTTTAATTATTCAAAAAATTACGTCAGTTTTCAGAATATTTATTTGAATGAATAAATAAAATAAAACAGGTACGGATTTTTCAGTAAATTGTTTTTAGTGTGGCGTGTGAATTAGATTTTTTTAAATTATAAATTACAAGTAGTTTATACATTTAGAGTAGATAAAAATATTTACCTCTCAGTATTTCAACAATGCATCTAATTAATATTCATAATATCCATCACTAATTGCTTCACTGCTTGAACTAATATTCTCTAATTGCATGCTGGCTTTTTAATTACTCTGTTATAAATCTTTAGCAGTAAAAAGCTTAGTAGAATTTTTATTTAATCCTCTTATTTCTTAATATATTTACTAATTAAAAAAATTTATAGATGGAGTGGGAATTCACAATCATCAAATGCAATACAACTTTAATCTTATAAAACCGGAACCAACGGACAGTTTGTACCCCTCAATGGCAGGAGGTTCATCTTCACCAATGTATCCAGTTGGTAGTCCAATTTCACCATCTAATTTACATACTTTAAGGTAAAATTAAATTTTTCTTGTATAAAATTTTTTAAAATTAAAATTTACGGACAAAAATTCTTGATTTTTTTTTTTTTATTGTATTAATTTAAATTTCCATATTATTATTGAGTTATTTATTTATTTATCTATTTATCAGACAAATAAGGTCTCCAAGACGCACACCATCGCCTATGGGTCCTTCCTACTCAATGCAACAGCCACAGACTTTAACTCCACAGTACCATTCACCATCGGGCCATGCTAGCCCTAATTTACCAGCTCAGTTGATGTATAATCAATCGATATCATTAAGTAGAGTTACACCCGAACCATCTCAAGATGTTCCAGGAATAAACCATCAAGGATTCCACAATCCCTTGGTTAATGCTGGTAGATAAATTTTTATTTTCAATATTCGGTAGTCGGCTGCATGTTTTTTTTTTTTTTTAGTTCGGTGCCAAATTTTTTAAAACTGAATTTTTTTAATTTGGCATCTACTTTCATTCTTTTATTAAAAAAATGTCTTGATGAATAATAAATTTTATTTTAAACCTAGTGCATGTTTAATTTTTTTTTTTTTAATAAACATAAATAAAACTGGCGACGTCCTCAGAAAAAAACTTCCTATCTCCACTTTTAATCTTAAAAGAGTACAAATAAAATAGTATAATATTTAAAAAAAAAAAAAATTATATTTTAGAATATCTGATAAGAAAGTAGAATTATAAAAAAAAAAAAAATAGTAAAAAGTGTAGAGTTGGAAAGATTTATAATGAAGACGTCAAATTATAAATTTTTGAGCGTTAAAATAAACTGATAATTTTGTAAAAAATTAAATGGTCAATAAAAAATTTTTATGAAGTAAAAATTGATACAGTGAGAAAATAATGAAAGTATTTTTATTTAATTATTTAACAATAATAATTTTTTTATTTAATTATAGAAAATGTTAACAATCTACTTGACTTTGGAATTAACCAATGTAGTTTTGACATAAACCAATTGAGCGGCAGTTTGAACCCCCTCGACTCAGATGACTTGGCAGTACTGGGAAATGCATTTACTGAAAGTTTTTCTAGCGGTTTATCATTATCAGATTCCCAAAATAAGGTAATCAAATAAACCCAATTAAATATATATTAAAACCCAAGCATGTAAAAAACGGAAGTTTTATAATGATGATGAAATAAAAAGCCCCAAGATAAAAATAATAACCAATTAATTCTTTTTTTAGGCCCAAAAAGTCGAACCAAATGCTGCAGGGGAAGGCTTAAATATGACCGACAGTTTCACCAAATTAACCAATAGCACCATACAAGAACTCTGTACTCTAAATAATCTATACAAACCCATGCAAGAATAATAATACTATTCATAGATATATTATATACATATAATATAGCAAAAATTTTAATAATTTGATACTACATCAAAAATGTACTCATCTGTTATTTTAAGATCTCATTGTGTCAATCTTTAAATAACGAGATTTATAACGATAATTGATATTTTTCATGAGATTAATAATAATAATAATAATACTAGAGTGTTAAATTTGTTACTAATTTTAACACAAAAAATTAGTCTTCTATAAAGCTCATGCTCATGACAATTTTATTTATTACTTTGATTTTAAATAAATCAGTTATTACCAAAGTAATAATAATTGAGATGTATAGAAGTAAAATCTATCCAAAATTGCATTACAGGGCAGGACCCTTTCAAAATTATCTTATAAAGAAAATAAAAAAAAAAATTATTCTCGTGATACAATGCAAGTACAACTAAAAATAATTTTTTTAGCTCTAAAATTAAATAAAATAACTACAAACATACATACCAATGTCGTAGTTACTAAAAATAAATAATAATATACACTGTAGTTTTAGTTTTAAATTTAGAAATAAAAATTGTACATACTTTATTATTAATTTCTATCTGCTGTAAAAAAATTTTATAATTTAATAATTTTAGTTAAAATTAAATGCTCATTTCAATATAAGTGTAAAAGAATATATATTATTAAATTTTTAATAAATAGTTAAAACATTAACTTGAGGAGTATTAGCATTGTAAAACTCATTAAGTAAAATATTTATTTAAAAAAAAAAATCAGCTATAACGAATGGAGTAACATTGTAAGGGGATTGGAAACTAAAATAAATAAATTTCCAAGAAACTAAAACCGTAATTTTAAGAGAACAATAGATAGCAAATACTCTAAGTAAGAAAGACATTAAGCAAGGTGCACTCAAATTTCTATAGATATAACGTATACAATTGTAAATTTAAGGGGAGAGCAAGTACAGGGATACTTTGTTTCCATTACAAAGGCCACGAAGGCTTCGAGATTTGTCGTGAAAAGTTTGTAGTAAAAAAATTTAAACCTCATTACTCGTTGGTACAAATTCTATGTAAAGAAAAATCTTATACCTATCTGTGATCTTGAGGCGCTTACTCTGTCTTTACTACTTACCCATAAATTTCTCCAAGTGTTAGTGTTGTATTGGTTTGAATTTTTCTTACAATATACTCAATTTTAAATGCAGTCGAGGGCTAACTTACATTTTTACTTAGTTTCTTCAGTGCTTGCCTGAGAATACTGTCGTAAAGATCACTAAATCGCGCGTTACTCCAAAGTGAACTGTAAAAAAAATTTATAGGGTAGTTAAAATTATTTTATTGGACTATAAATTTATAATTTTTTACAGTCGTTCAAGTGTGTGTTGAAATAATAATTGTGTTATTTATCAATAGCTGTTAAATAAGTGCTATGGTGAATTTTTGTGTTTGATTTTACTGTAATAAGTGTAATTGTCGGTATAATGAGTACGAATAAAAATGATGACTGTTATATAGAAATACTTGAACAACCTTGTAGTAAAAGCCGGTTTCGGTATCCATGTGAGGCACGTAATAATGGAAGTATCGTGGGTGCCACCAATAATTCTGAGCGTAAAACCTGGCCTAAAATTAAGGTGATTGCCTTGTGAATTTTTTATCAATAAATTCTCATAATATTATAGACGATTGTATATTTAGCCTACAGCTAACGTAAATCACTTGGGTTTTTTTCGTCATTTCAACATGATAATACTAGACGTAATAGTTAATGATAAAAAAAATTTGAAGAATTTTTTTTCTCTGTCTTTTGAATTTTTGGAAAATTTTTCTTTTTTTATAAGAAATATAATTTATTTTATTACAAAGATAAAAATTACTATTGGGGAAAAGATGAAATAAGTGGGGAAGATAAGGAAACATGGGCGAGGGTGCGATGTGGGAACATAGGAAGAGGGGGAAAGAAAGGATTTAAGGATTGGAGATGCAGAGTATGTGAGGGGGGAGAAGAAACCCTGATGCATATAATGAAATGTGAAGAAATATATGTTGAAATATCGCCACAAGAGGGCGCAAAGAATCATACACTTTTAAAGTGTCAATCTTCAACACAAAATAAATGTTAAATAAACTTATTTATTATTTTCATCAACTGTTTGATGCCTATAAAATAATTTTTTTTTATTTCCTCAAATGCAGTAAATAATATTTATTTAAAAATGTTTTTTTTTTTTTATCATTTACATTTTAACGAAACATCAACAATTATCGACTATAAATAATTGGAAGAAAGAAAGTGTGAAAAATTTTTAATAATTAAATCAAAAAATAATTTATAGGTTTTAAAAGTGAAGCAGCAGAGTTATAAATTTATGAAAATGAAGTTAACCGACATTTTAAAACTTTTAGAAATTTTTTATTGAAAAAATTTAGATTTAACAATTAAAAAAAAAAAATGTCACATCTAAACAACTTTAAAAACTAAATAAATGGAAAAAAAATGTCACATCTAAACAACTTTAAAAACTAAAAGTGCAATTTTTTAGAAATATCTTTTTAGTTGTAATTTATGTAATAAAAAAAAATTAAAAATTTTTAGACGTCTACTAACTTAAGTGTCATATAAATTTAATTGTCTTTATTATTTAATATTTATTATATTTTCGTGAAAATGTTTGCTGCGTAAAGTGAAGAAGTGATGTTATATTAATGGAGAATTTGACACAAACTTTGTGTTCATTCCCAAGTAACATACAAAATATGTTAATAAAGAGTATATAACACATTTTTTATGTTACAAAATAAAATGACACAAGCTTTGTGTTATTTTAACACACTACAATTTTTAACACAAACCGTTTTCGACACAAATACACAATATTTTTTACTGTGTATGAAAAAGTTGGAGAAGAAGGAAAGAGTTTTTTAAATGAATGGAAAAATTTAGAAAATGAAGAGGTTGAAGAAATATTAATAGAAGTACTAAAGGGAAGAATAGACGGGAGAGCATGCACGGTCTTCAGAAAAATTGAAGAGATCCTAAGGGAAAAAACAGGATTGCGGAACAACGACGTGCAAACAAGAGGAAAAAAGAAAAGAAATAAAAAGAAAAATAGAAAGATCAAATGGAAAGAGAAATAAGATATACAATTAACCCTCAAGAGAAGCACTGGGTATGGGATACCCAGGTGTAAATTAAAAATATTTCTCCTTCAGAAATGGTTACAATAAGAAGATGACTTTGCCTAGGGGAAAAATCTCTACTATCCCCACTACAGATTCCCCACCATAGTTATCTTGAGATGTGAATACGGACTAAAATATAGGCCAGGCCAGACTCATTAAAAATTACATCAATTGAAAATTTTCAAATATTGCGAAAAATTTTAATTTTCACTGTCTCTCCGTGCAATAACTATAGAATGCGATAACTAATTAAATTTCTGTAAATTTTATCAAAAAGCTCATTAAATAAGCTTTAATTTACATAGCAATATATTTTCCGAGATCTATAAATTAAAAAATGACAGAAATTTAAAAATTTATAAAAACTTTGACATTTTTTGAAAAAATAAAAAATTTTATATCATTTTCTGGTTCATATGATGAAATTTTACTCTTCCAAGCGTCACAAAAAAAATGTTAACTTTTTAATAGATTTCACTCAACAGAAAGTTAAAAAATTAATAAAAGTCCACTTAAATTTAACAAAAAAAATTTGTGCCGCTTGGGCTTGCATTATTTTTTAAATTTTATTATACAAATTTATTCATGTATTTTCTCAATTGCTGACTTTAATAAAATACTTCTTCCAGATCCATGGTTTTAAAGGAAAAGCAGTAGTAATAGTGTCCTGTGTCACCAAGGATGAACCTCACCGCCCTCACCCTCATGAAATAATCGGGAAAGAAAAATGCAATTTAGGATATTATCATCATAAAACCTACGACGCAGAGGTATCTTTTCAAAATTTGGGAATACAATGCGTCAAAAAAAAAGCTATTCTAGCGGCGTTGGAAAAACGCAAAAGAAATAAAATTGATCCCTTCAACAGTAATTATTATTATTATTATTATTTTTTTAATATATTGATTCTTTAAGTAAAAAATCAAATATAAAGTACTAATTGACGATTGATGTTTACTTTTCAGCTGGTTTCAAGCATATGAAACTTCCTGACATCATCGACTTAACGGCTGTAAGATTATGCTTCCAAGTATTTCTTAAAGATGATGAAGAAAAGTATACAATCCCTTTAAAACCAGTTGTCTCTGAGCCAATTTATGACAAAAGTAATTTTTATTTTTATTTTTCAAGCTTTAATTAATAATTAAAATTAATTATTAATAATTAAATGATATATCGTTATTTATATTTTCAGAAATCTTGAATGACTTGGTGATTATTAAATTGAGTCACTGCAGTGCACCGGTAACTGGTGGAGTACCGATGATTCTTTTATGTGATAAAGTTCCTAAAGACAATATTAATATTGTTTTTTTTGAACAAAAAAATGGGCAAAATGTTTGGGAAGCACCGGCCAAATTTAATCCAAGCGACGTTTTTCGACAGGTAAATTTATAATTTTTTCGATTAGCTAGTAAATATGTATTATTTATAAGTATGACGAATACTCATAACAAAAATTAGACAGTTTAATTAATGATTTTTTTCAATTTAGGTATCAATATCGTTTGAGAGTCCAGCTTATAGTGATTTATCTATTGAAGAACCGGTGCAAGTATTTATCCAATTGCGAAAACTGACAGGCAGGATAGACAGAAGTGAACCGTTACCGTTTACTTTTACTCCAGTTGGAGGAGGTAAAGAAAACTTTAATTTTTTTATTTTTTTATTTATTGAGTTAAAAATCAAAGGAACTATTTAAATAGCAAACAACTGATTAAATAATTATAAAAGAATGACTAATGATAAAATATTATTTACAGATTCTGAATTCACTCTGAAGCGAAAAAGACAAAGAATGCATTCTCAAACATCGGCACGACTTGATTTGGATTTCGAAGAATCTAAACCTATAGTACACTGTCCAAAATGCAATTGTTTCAAAAAATCTCCATTAACTGAAACACGAAAAATTACTGACAAATTAATGATGATTAGAAAACAAACTATTAAAAAATCATGTAAGTATTATTATTATTATTATTATGTCTTTTTTTCTTATATTGATTTATTTGTTAATTTTTTTCTATTTTAGCTTTGGATGTGGACCAACCATTAATTGATAAGACTGTGAAAAATGATGCACCTCTTGATTTACATTGCAAAAAAGATTTGGCAAATGATAGTAATAAAAATAATAATAATAATAATAATAAATCGAATGTAAAAAAAAGGAAAAATTATCAGCAGCATCATCAAGAACAACAACTAAATCAACTACGACTGAATCATCAACAGTTCCAACAGCACCAAAATCAACAACAACAATTAAATCAAGTACAACAACAACAACATTTACAAAATCAACTCCAGCAACAAAATCAAAATGATGATCAACAACAAAATCAATTGGCGGCTCAGCAACATCATCTTCAACAACAACAACAACAAATGCTATTGCAACATCTACCACTTCTACAGCAGCAAATATGCTCAAAAAGATTACAACCACCAGCAGAGCTGCTTCTTCAGCAACATCAACAACCGCAACAACAACTACAACTACAACTACAGCTGCAGCTGCAACAACAACAACAACAACAACAACAACAACAACAACAACAACAACAACAACAACAACAACAACAACAACAACAACAACAACAACAACAACAACAACAACAACAACAACAACAACAACAACAACAACAACAACAACAACAACAACAACAACAACAACAACAACAACAACAACAACAACAACAACAACAACAACAACAACAACAACAACAACAACAACAACAACAACAACAACAACAACAACAACAACAACAACAACAACAACAACAACAACAACAACAACAACAACAACAACAACAACAACAACAACAACAACAACAACAACAACAACAACAACAACAACAACAACAACAACAACAACAACAACAACAACAACAACAACAACAACAACAACAACAACAACAACAACAACAACAACAACAACAACAACAACAACAACAACAACAACAACAACAACAACAACAACAACAACAACAACAATGTCAACAAATATTACCGATACAAACACTCCAGCAACTTCAAGCTTACACATTATTTCAGCAACAGCAACAGCAAAGAAAACAATCACAGCAATTTCCTGGAAATAATCATCAGTTACAACAACATCAACAACATCAACAGCAGCAACAGCAACAAAATGATTATGAATTAGAACAATTTGAACCGCAATTCAGAACACAACTGCCTTTGGCTTTCCAGTTAGAACAATTATTGGAATTGCAAAATATTCCATCGCAGCAGGAGCAATCACGGCCGTTAATTGATTATTATCAACTACCTCAACAAATGGGTCAACAACAGCAAGAACAACAGCAATATCAAATGGTCGCAAGTGGAAGGTAATTAATAGCTTGTAAATAATTAATTATTAACATTGAAATTTCTTACAATTTTGTATCTTGATTATTAGGTATTTTTTGTTAATTTTATTATTACTATCACAGGCCAGTTTATGAACTCAATGATGCGCACTCACAAATGCTGTTGAATGGTTGTCAGAATAAAAAAATTTATGACTACAATAATCAGCCGCGACAGCAATTATCGCTGATGGATCAGACTTCTCAGCCACAGCACGCGTATCGATCTCAAATTGAGGATGATTATAACAGCGGCGAGGATAAGGAAGATGATAACAATGATGATGTTTTTGAAGAAAAATTCAGTAGTGATGGCAGCGGGTACCACAATAATAATGTTCCCCAGATTATTCCAAATAGGCCAGCGGGTTTATTTAGTATTCGCAAAACTCTTAAACCTCAGCAGCAAAATTATATAGGTAATTAATTAATTTTAAAAAAAATTTTTTAAAACTATTTATAAGTGAATTTTTTTTAATGTTAATTATTTGTATTTTAAATTTTAGCAGCATTTGCCAACAGCAATGGTAATATGTATGAAAGAGTTGATATGAGACCGATGAATCAAGATAATGATGATCTTGATGAAGAAATAAATAAAAAATTGTCAGAAACTTTCAACAATGAAATGTCGCTCATAGACACCGAGGTAATTTAAAATTTTAATTATCTTTTATAATTAGTTTAATTCTTTATAATTAGGTATTACTAATACAGTATTTTTATTTTTTTTTAGTTTGATATCCAGCCATTTGATGAAAGCAATCATAATGCACCGATGGGCAATGACCTTTACACTTATAAATAATTCTTAATAATTATTTTGTTAATCAAAAATTATTTTATTTTTTCAAGAAAATGCTGCTTCGACTATCATTATTTATGTGTATATATTATTTCTGTAAAAAAATTGAAAAATATATTATTTTTAAAATTAAAAATTTTTATAATTAATTAAAATAAAAATCCAATGATATTTATATTTTTCAAATATATTTCCTTTACAATACAAGTCTGTAATTATCAGACGGAATGGGAAAAAATTTAAACCTTCTACTTAACAATTTATAGCTAATAAATATTTTAAAATATCTAGTTTTATCTAAGACAGAAATATACATAAATTTTATCGACAATAAATAAATAATATCACTAAGTAAGTCCTACAAAATGAAAAACTTAATTTTTTAATCGACTAAAATTAAATTTTTGTCAATTGTCTTAAAAATTTTTTAGTAAATTATATGATATAAAAAAGTATAGTATTTTATAATTTTAAAATAAATAATAGGGTCACTCATCTCTCGTCTTTTTCATTTAAAAAATTTTTTTAAATTATCAACATTTAAAACAGTAAAATGTATAACAGTATTAGTCAATTGACCTTAAGTTGGAAATTATACTTATCTAACGATTTATGTGTGCGTTCACACGTTCAAAGATAAGATTTGCCAACAAAAAAAAAAACTATATGGACTTAACAGTCTATTACAAATAAAACTGATATAATTTAATTGATTTTTATTTTATTTTTATTATAATAGATTATCACTAGGGATAACTATAAGTTTGTCAGTTCTCATCTAAAAAAAAAAAAAAAAAAAAAAAAAAAAAAAAAATCTTGTATATTCAATAATTAATCTATTCTTATATTAAATTTTTAAATTTGACGAAATATTTTTTAACTACATCTTGAAAATATTTATACATTTAAAATGTGTCCACAACACCTTACCAAATTGGCGAGTCAATTTATTTTTCATAATTTAATAATTAATAATAAATTTAATAATTACCACAGCGAATATACAATAAACATCAGCTTGATATCTTCTTATTTAAACAACAAAACTATTATCAAACCATTTTATAAACTTTAAAATAAGAAGACATCAATACTCATACAATGTTACTAATTATTTAAATTATAATGCATGTACATAATACATATTTTAATATAGTTCTAGTGAGGCATTACATTAATTTTTTTCATTACAACAAGTGGCTTTTATTAAATTTACTTGTACAAATTAAACTGGTGCAAGATAATCTCATGAAAATTAATCATTTTTTTTTATAAATAATTAAAAATTGTCAACCAGTTAACAATTTAGTAACTAATATAAATATTCTAGTAAAAATTAAGGAATTAAATTTGAAAAAAGAACCCTTACAAAGATAGTTTGTAAATTTTTTTAGTATTTTATATTTTTTTTTGTTCTTTAATTAATTATTTTTTTATACAATTTAAGTCGTCCATCATTGCAATTATTATACATATAAATGGAAAGAAATAAATGAAAGGTACACAATTATTACAATATAAATGACAGTAATTTAAATAAAATAAAAACAAATAAGCTTGAGTATCCAGGTCTAAATGATAAAATAATTAAGTTATTTAATTTTTAGTTATTGTTTTCATACGTTACATAATATTGTTTTACTAATAAAATGTTTCTTAGTTGATAAACTTTATACATACTATGTATAATTATTATGCAATGAGAATTACACACATTACCCATTCATACTCTTTAGCGCGAGTCATTGCAGTTAATCGTAATGGGTGTTATAAATAATAATTAAATTAAATTAATTTAAAAAAGAAGGATGATGGTGGTGATTTACAATAAGAGCAATCAATTTTTTTTTTTAAATATTAATTAATATAAATAAATGAAGCAAAAGGTATTAGTGATTTACAAAAACAAACAAATGTTTAATGATTAAATAATTTTTAAAAGAGTTATAAATATATTTATGTATACAATTGGTTACGATATCATTCAAAACATTTATTCGCATCTAATAATTATATATAAATTTATTCCATCAATTTTATTAAATGATTAGTTATTTAATTTAAATATTTAAATCAATCCAGAAAAAAATATAAAAAAAACGATGATAATTCACACCCTTACGACACTATTATACTATTTTAATTATAAATCAGTTTAAAAAAAAAATTTATAAAAAAAAAATTGTTTTATTTTTAAGTCATTTATTAAAACTCAGTCACGCGCACAGTAATAATATAATAGAGACATTCGTCGACCTACAAACATAATTTGATTTTAAATGTAAAAAAAAAAAAATCATCATCATAATCATCATCATCATCCACAAATGTTCATTTTACACTATTTAAATACAATAGAACTTTTCTTGTATATTTTATTTTACTTTACTATTAAATAAGTTTTGTTTTATTTTTTTTTTTTGTTGTTATTTTTATTAATTGTTTTTTTATAAAACTGTCCCGCGAAGAAAAGTGGCGATTATTACAATACCAAGTTATTAATTTAGATACGATAAACAAAATGTTTATTTTTCAAATAAATTTGGATTGAGTGATTCTAATTTATTTATAAGTTGTTCATTAATTCGTTTATCTTTACTATCTTAATTAATAAATAAAGAGTAGTGAAATAATAATTACCACACAAAATTGAATACAAATTTACAGAGAAATGAACACTTTGACGTATCGATTGGAATTTTAAAATCGGTTTTAGAGGCTAAAAAATAACAAAATTGCAATAAGCCAAGATCAGTAAATGTATTATTACATTTACAAAAATATTAGCAAATTACAATTTTGGTAGTTACCTCGACTTATTAATCTTAATCATAATTATAATTATAATTATTCCCTGTTAGTTGTTGACCAGGAGGACTCGACAGAATGATTTGAATTTTTTTTCTTTTAAGGCAGAATAGACGTTAACATTTAAATCAAAAGTTCAATGGAAATAAAAGTAGTCAAGTGTTAGTAATTTTACAAAAATCATTGCTGTTAATATTATCATTTCGTTTATTTTATATCTTAGTGATGATTAACGATTGCGCTATCTGCCTGTGCCTCCTTTACTTACTTAACAGTAACTTATTTATTTTTTTTTGTTTTTTTTTTTTTATACTTTTCTTATTTAGTAATGTATGTTTTATGCATTATGCATCTTCCTCATCATCATCATGATCTTCTTCTTCTTCGTCCTCATCTGTAAAATAAAAACCCATCAAGTTATTAGTATGGAACTAATAATTTTAATCTTTAAAAAAAAAAAAATTAACTGTTAAACTGA